GGAAGCCTCTGTACGCTCCAGCCCTCGGCTCTGGCAGCTGCCCATCTGGACAAAGGAACAGGATGATGATGCTGGCTTCGGTGCTGGGGAGCGGCCCCCGGGCGGGCCTCTGCTCCGGCCCCTCCTGGGGCCCGCACTCTCGCTCCGGGCCCGCTCCACCTTGCCTGCTGACACACCACGAGGAGATGGCACAGGGACACTGCAAGGCTGCCGTCTCCTTCCACAACTGGTCAGCCATCAACGTGGCAGCTGAGGAGCCGTCTGTCAACTCACTCCATCCGTGATAGTCTGTCCTGGCTTCTCAGTCTTCTCTATGCTATGAACTCGTTGTAGACAGAGCCCTATCTTATCGTTGTGTTTATACCTAGTGCTTAGTTATACACTGATGTTTGTCGAATGATCTGTTTGAGATCTCAGAATATGGACTGGGCAGCCAGAGTGAATCTTGGTTCTTAAAAACATCCCGAACATTTTTATCTATAGATGTTTTGAACTGTTATTTGAAGATGTGGAGAGTTAACGTGTCGTTTTCAGTTCCATGATTTTTGTGTGTGTGTAGCTGCACATTCAAAACCTTCCTGAGACTCAGAGAGATTGAGTAACTTAGTCACGATTACTAGTTAAGTGTCAGAACTTGGAATCAAACCTGTGTCTGAGTTGGAAGAGGTTTTTTAACTATCCTGCTTGTGGCTTTTCTGAATTGTAGCCTAATTGTTGATCAAGGCTGAACCTGAATAGATTTGGAATCTTCATGGCTCATTATTTAGTCTCAAAATTTTCTTTAGGCATTTACATTATGGTTTAGTATTGATAGATAGAACTTGAGTTTTGTGATAAATTAGAGGTAATGTGCCCTGGTGTAATAACACGACGTTTAAGCTTTGCTGTGGTTGCTCAGGAAAGCTCACCGCACGACGGATAGATCCTTTCCTTCTCTGTTTCTCTCCATTTTCTCTCTCTCTCGGCATTCTCATAGAGCTGATATATATGTCTATGTTAGCTGAGGAGATGTACATATAATTAAAATAAAAAGCAAGCAAGCTACCTAAGTTTTTAAGTGTTAGAAGCATACTGCAAATCAAATGTTAGAACCAAAAGAAATAGAAAGGACAATTTGATGTACACCTTATGAGGAAATGGGGATTTGTGAAATTATTGCAATTTTTCCCTGAAGTGTTTCAATCTCAGACGCTTTGTTTGGAGGCACTAGCTAGAGCCCTGGAGAGGGAAGCAGGACGTAAAACACCTCGTAAAGAAGCTCCTGGTCTGCTGGACAGAGGAGCACCCGATTGTAAAAAGCAGCTAATAATGCAACATAGCTTTTGATAATGCAATTTGTGATTCATTCAAATTGATTAGGACTGCTATAGGAATTCAGGAATGGGAACGAAATCATCTAGGTTGATCTGTGCTGAAGTAGAATTTGTGGATGGGCGTTTGGAATTTGAAATAGGTGAGCACAAGTGATAAACATCATTTTACTGTTTTCCTGTGACCAGAATTCCTTCCTAGGAGTCTAGAAGAAGTATTTGATTGTTAGGTTGCCTAGTTCAATTGTTTTTTCCATGGTTACAGCAGAAGCATATAAGGGTGTGACTTTTTCCTTTTGAGAGGCAATCTATTTCAACTGCTAAAGCATCTGGCCTGTAAAGGAATGTGTGAGCAGTTACGTGCCCTGGCGCTGTCACCTCCTCTGTAGGACCAGTGAGGGGCCCTTTGGTCTCATCTCTCCTTACCTCACCCCCCAGTCTCGTTGCTTTTCTCAGGTACCGTGAGCTGGGTGCTCCCGAGTCCTGTTCTCTTTCACCCTCAGGGCTTTGGCTGTGTGGTGCCTGCTGCCTGGTTCACTGCCCATCACTTGACTGTCTCTTCATCTTTTCAGGCTCAGATTTGATGTCATTTTTTTAGGAAGCATTCACACCCTCCGGAAACTGCATTAGACGCCCCTCCTGAATGTTCCACAGCATCCTGACTGCACCCAATCCCACTGTAATTCCCAGTTAACTTGTCCCAGTTATTTTTGCTGTGTGTGACGGAGTGTATTTGTATGTTACATATATTTCTATTTCTGTATTTTTTAGTCTGTTTTTGTTTTAGGTCTGTCTCTTGTCAGCCACATTTACCCAGATTTTTGTTGTTGTTGTTCATTTTGGTAATTTCTGCTCTTAGTAGGTGGTTTATTAACACTTACGTTTATTGCAAGTATGGATACATTTGAACTTATTTCTGCCATTTTTGTGTTTTCTACTTTTTTTTTTTCTTTTCATGTGTCTGCAATTGGATGGCAGGTTTTGTTATTTAATTTTTTCTCTTCTTTTTTGATTGCTGTGGATTGTATTTCTGTTTTTATATTTTTCTGGTATATACCATTAAGTTTTTTGGATACGTAATTAAATTTTGCCAACAAAGTCGAGTTATCTATCATTTTTCCGCTTATCTGTATCAGAGTTCTTAGCATGCTTTAACTATCAACTAAACATTCCCTTCCCAGCTTATTATTGTTTTGAGTTTGAGTTTTACACTTTTTAAAACAACATTTTATTTTTATTTTATTTTGTTTATTTATTTTTTGAGGAAGCTTAGCCCTGAGCCAACATCGGCTGCCAATCCTCTTCTTTTTGCTGAGGAAGATTGGCCTTGAGCTAACATCTGTGCCCGTCTTGGTCTCTTTTATATGTGGGACACCTGCCACAGTGTGGCTTGATGAGCAGTACACATGTCCACCCCTGGGATCCAAACCAGGGAACCCCAGGCCACTGAAGCAGAGCGCGTGAATCCAACCGTATGCCACCAGGCCGGCGCCATGTTTTACACTTTTCTAAACCCTGAGAAATTACCTTTTGAATGATTAATAGTTAGCATTTTATCAGTTTCTTTGGTAACTTGTTTCCTGTAGCCTGTGGGTCCCCTCTGTGTTCACTTTTCTTCTTGATGAAGTGCGTTTTATAATAGCTCATCAATAAGTGGTAAATTTTCCTCGCCTTTCTATGTCTAGAGAATACTTTTCCTTCAGTCTGGAATGATGGTTTGCTGCATATAAAATTCTAGACAGTTATTTTTCCTCGGCTTCTTAAAGATATCGCTCTGTCGTCTCTGACCTCTGTTGAGATGCTGGAAGCGTGCTCTCAGTCTCTCATTCCAGTGAGGTAACCTGGTTTCTTTTCCTCTGCCAGCTTTTAGGATTGTTTTCATTGTTGGTAGTGTGCAGTCTCTCTGCAGTGCATCTAATGTGGGTTTGTGTTTACACAGAGTCGTCGTCTTTTTTCCTGTTTATTTTTTGTTGAGGATAACTCGCATCAAGTGTGAGCTCTGTGGATTTTCACACACACACAGCTTCAGGTCACCACTGCCTAGTCAAGATGTAGAGTATTGCCAGCAGGCCGCCAGGCTCCCTGAGCCCCTGCTGGTCAAGACGCCCTAGGAGCCGCGCTTCTGCTCTCACTCAGAGCTCTTTCATTTTGAGGGAATGTATCTTTTCAGTTCTGGGAAATTCTCGACAATTCTGTCTTCCTGCACTGCTTCTGTACCGTCCCCTGCAGTCTCTCCCCTGGAACTCCATGAGACACACCTGGCAGCCTCAGACTGTCTCTCTCAACTGCTCTCTTCTATTTCTTATCTTTTTGTCTCCCTTCGTTAAGTTCCAGGTAGTTCCTTAATGCCACATTTAATTTACTAATTCACTTCACTATGTCCGGTCTGGAATATATCCCATTGGTTGTTTCTTTTTATTTCAATAACTGTATTTTTCATTTCCAAGGTTTCCAATTAATTTTTTTCCTTTCTACATGGTACTGTTTTGTTTTATTTCGTACGTTATTTTTCCCAATCTCTTGTTCTTGTGATGGGTCTTCTACCTTCATTTCTATTTCTGAACATCCTCAAGATACTTATTTTAAAATCTTTGGCAGGTTGCACTAAATGAATTGCATCCGGAATGAATTTCTGTTCTGATTATTGATTTTGTTTCTTAGCATTACATTTCTTGATGTGTTTTGGAACTTTGTCTTGCAGTTTGCTTTTGAGTGGAAGGTCTTGTTTGAGCGTTCGATGTCTTGCCGCTCATCCTCTCCTGTCCCCTTCCCCCATCCCGAGTCCAGGGATTTACTGTTGGTGTTGGAGATGTCAGAAGATGCAGTATGGAGCCGGAGGGGGGCTTGGCTCAGATCCTGGTGTTGAGGCAGTGACTTTGTTCCCCACCTTCCTAGACCCACAGTTTTGATTCAAGCCATCGTCCGAGTCAGTGGGCTTGATTGCCATTTTATCAGCCTCCTTTCTGAGTGGAGGAACCCTATCCCAGCCCTAGCTTTGAGTAGAGAATCTGATTTGAGGCCCTGTCTTCCGCAGGCCACTTTTCGTTCCCTTTACTCAAAAGGAAGTCACCCCCACCACCCCCTGATCTGCTTCTTGATCCAGAAACCAGCAAGTCAGGTCCTGCTCAGCATTGTTGAGTATCCATACTGTTTCTGTTGCACAGAAGTGTTTCTTATTTGACCTGAGCTGTATCTTTGATTTTCTCTCTTTAACCTTAATATGCTTTATTCATTTATGCTGTGTGGTGCCGACAGGATTTCTGAACTCACCCTACGATGTTAACCCAGAAGTGCTATTAATTGTAGAACTTTTCTCTTCATGGAATAACGAAGTATGTTAAAAAATGTGGGGATTGGAATTGATGTGTTTAGAGGAGGATATGCATTTCTTGCTGTTGTCTCTAAAATGTGATTTTGTTTTTAATATTTGCTCATTAATCTTTGTAATCACTTTTTTTATCATAACAAATACAATTTATATCCATTATAGTGTTTTTGGAAAATACAACAAAACATACATGTATGCATGCACACACACGATGGGAATTACTTGTAATTCCACAGCCCAGAAATAGCTCCTGAGTATTTCGGTATTTATTATTCATGTTCCACACACATATACACGCACATACCCCCACATTTTAATATTCATATTTTAAAAAACAGAACAAACCCAGTCTTATTTTCTAGGTGAAGCTGTGAGTGCTGGAGATGCCTTATGTGAAATAGAGACCGACAAAGCTGTGGTTACCTTAGATGCGAGTGATGATGGCATTTTGGCCAGAATAGTGGTAAGTTTTCATTTTGATTGTCTTCAACAGGATGAAGATTTCTTAACTGTAGAGTTTCTTGAAATAAAGTTACCTTTTATTTTTACCTCTTTATAGTGTTGTATTATCTGACATAATACATTTTTAATTCAGATATTTAAAATATTTTAGTGTTAAGGTCCGATGATAGCCAGTGATGATCAGCTGACAAAGAACTTTTTCAGCCGTGACAGTGGTGCTCATTCTTTTGGGTTCCCTAGTGGAGAATGAGAAGCATTCAGGGCTGAGGGAGGAGAGAAGATTATTTGAGGTGGAATTTGAAGATAAAGGAAGGAATGGGTTAAAGCTTAGAGCTAGCAATTTTCAAGTTTGTAGTTGATACAATCGAAAAGAAGGAATGTTTTACTCTTACCACATGAGAAAAACAGTCGTGTCTTTATCCATCCCTAGGACTCCCAGGGCTGGAAGTATGTAAAGTGACTGTCTGCTCAGCTCCTGTTCTCTGGACAAGACTGCCGTCAGTTGTGCTGTGTAGGTTTCCTAGCCACATTCAGTGACGTGTCTTTTGATAGTACATTTTCTGTTCCATGAGCATTTTTATGGAGAATATGCTTGTGGGTCTAGGAAGACCAAAGCCATTTCCTTTTAGATCTAAATTTAAATATATGCAGTAATTTTGAATCCTCTTCTCTGGGCAGTCTTTGCTTTATGACTAATTAAAACTATGGGGCTACAACTTGGATGCTTGGTGATGTTACTAGAAGCTGATGTTTTTTTAGTCTTTCAACCAAAATGTGTAGCAATACTTGAAGAGGCTACTTGAATAACAGAAGAAAATATGGAGAATCACATAGCCATTAAAATTGTTTCTAGAAAAAAATGTGGTTTCTTTATATGTATTATACATTAATGGAAGTTCAAAAAGTTTTTTTGGAAAAATACTTTTTGTGTGTGTGTGAGGAAGATTGGCCCTGAGCTAACATCTGTGCTAACCTTCCTCTATTTTTTGTGGGATGCTGCCGCAGTGTGGCTTGACGAGCAGTGCCAGGTCCACATTCGGGATCTGAACCTGCAAACCCTGGGCCGCTGAAGTAGAGTGTGTGAACTTAACCACTACGCCACTGGGTCGACCCCTGAAAAAATACTTTTAAAATTGCCTGTGGACAGTGATTACAAGCTTGTAGGACTTTTAAAGAAAAACATAAATGTAGAAAAGATTAGAATAAAATGTTATAAAAATGTTGAGTGTTTGTCTTTAGGGAGTAGAACTAAGTGATTTACCTGCCCCATTTTTTCTGTTTTTCTGTATTTTCTAAATTTTTTATAATATGTACTTTATTCTTATAATGCAGTATGAATTTATGTGAAAAGTCAGTAAAATAAAATGCTGGAAACATGACTGTTTAGGGTTAGGTGGTATATTCGCTGATGGAGGACGTTGCTTTCTTAGCTTCTTGAACAGTTAGAGGAAGCGTGGTGTAGCAGCTGAGACCGGGCTCTCGAGTCACCCTGCCGCCTGGTCCATTAGCTAGCAAGTTCGGCCAGCTATTAGTTTTGTAGCAATTGGGAAATTCTCTGCCTTTTTCTTTATAATAAAGTAGAGATACAATAATACCTACATCATGGGATAGTAGTAGAAATTGAGATAATACACATAAGCAAGACCCGTCACCCAGCAAATGTTAATAAATGTTGCCATTCTGGTTAATATTACAATTCTTCACTCAGCTCTTGGGGACCATTAGCGCCCATGTCAGTCGTGTGTTTGTGTATTAGTGTGTTTTGGTTGTTTGTGACTGGCCAGTAGGTGTCCATTCGTGCCTCTGTAGTTTGATTTGTACGGATAAGCTGCATATTTATCAGTAGTGCCTTGTTGAAGTGTTTTTAATTCTGAGCTGCCAGCTCCCCTCCGCTTTGAGCAGGGATGCACTGCCTTCCTTTGTCGTCTTTACCCGAAGACCACACGTGGAGGAATGTCATCCCCTAATTAGATGTAGATCTATACACAGTTTTTCATTCCTGTTTCTTACTAGAAAATCCCTCTCCCTTTTTTCTACTCACTTATATTTTATTTCTTATGTTCTAATTTGTCAAACTTCCTTTACTTGCCATCTAAAATATTAACAGCCATGTTGAAACACATTGTTGAAAATACTTCGTTGGAGGAAATATCAATGGAGGTGTAAAATTTCTGTACCTTTATAACTAGGAAAATATAAATATTCATACCAAAATAGTTTCTTTGACTAATTTATGCAGCGTTTTGAAAAGGAAAAAGATTGCTTGAATTCCCATAGGTAATAAACCCAGCTACATTTTGTTGTGTGTGCTTTTGGCAAGCTGTGTTCCTGGCCCTAGTTCTGGATTGTTGCGCTGTGAAAGTCTTCCAGAATTGACAGCATTTTCCGCTTAGCTGCTTAGTAATGCATTTCGGATGGCTGACTGTGGCGTGGTCAGCAGTGCCCATTCATCTGGCCCCTCATGCTCTGAAACAGTGGGGCGGCGAGGACACAAGTAGCTGTTTCCTTGGCAAAGCAAAGATCGTATGTATATTTCAAGGGCTTTGTGGCTTTATTATTATTCCACATGCTTTTGGGATAGTAAGAATGGGAGTGTATTCATGTCCCAATATACGTAGTTTTATGGGGGGAAAATGGAGAAAAAATTAAGGTGGTATTACTGGTGGGTTTTGTTTTTTTGCCTTTCACCCTACTCCATTCCCAACCTCCCCACTTTGCTTTTCATGGTGGAATAATTCCCATATTAGCACACATATGAAAATGATTTTTATAGGAATACATATCAAGGAGTTGGATAATTGAACTTACTACAAGGCAAGTGCTGATACAAAACTCTAGTTTTTAGTTTGCCCACATTTTTGAAAGATTAGAAATGGCACCCGATTCTGCTCTTCTGGGGATTATTTCCACAGTCTTTGAGAGGTTTTTGTGTTCTTTCTTGTCCCCCCAGTTTCATTCTTTTCTTTGTACTCACTCATAATTTTTAGATCTGAATTCCATTTTAAATTTAAAATAATATTTATTACATTTCAATTAGAACCAGAAAAAAGTATAGAAGCTCTTAATAATGAGGATAAAGAATAATTGCTGTCAGTGTAGATAATTTTATGATTCATTTCCAATTTAATTTAGTTAATGGGAGAGTTGTTAAATTCTCATTTAATCGCTAGTAAATTGTCATGCAGAAACCTTAAATTATTACACATATATTAGTTCATAAACTTAGTCTTAAATTTATTCAGCAAATTGGACAGCAAGTGTTTTAAATAATAAAGTAATAAAGTAGAATATTAGGATGCCATTTGGAGAGTTTATTGAAGATTGTCTAGTTTGGCTTTGAGCATATTTAGGGTTACTATATAATTTGTCATACAAACCAGGATACTTCTGAGGGTGAAACCGGTGTAGGATGTTATGATTATTCAAACTTACATAATTTTGTAAAGTTTTAATTTATTGACTGGCGATGCATTCATTGATAGATTTTTATTTTAGTGGTAGACCATTATTCAGAACAATTTTTAGAAATAGAATCTTTCTGAAAATTAGCATCCATGGATAGTGACACAAATGTTTTTGTAAACTTTCCCTTTATTGATCATCTGATTATTAAAAAGCAATTATTATTTTTGGTACTATTCATGTTATTCAATCAATTTTTTATCTGTATGTCACTCTAATACTATGTCGTTGGTGTTTTCTAAAGAAGAGTGTTTTATCTGGGTGGTTTTATTTCATTGTTAGAACCTCCTGCCCTTATTTTCCATTGAATTGCCTGCAGCTGCCTTCAGAGTTGCGTTTTATAGTTTGAAAGTTTATGGTTGGAATTTCAAGTTGTGAAAGCTTCACTTGATTCTCTGTAGACTGGAATATTTTCAACTGAGAAAATATCCCCTCAAAGCTAAGAGCAGATTCTACCAAATGGAAGATATTCTCAGTTCTAATTTCTCGTATTGAAATGAGTAAATGACATATTGAAGTGGTAAATAAGTCTATGTTCCTCATGAATTAAAAGCTAAATTAATTTTAATCACCTTTATATCTTCTTTCTTACGCTTGTTTTTAAAAATAGTAGCCCCATCTTTAGGGGCTACATGGTAATTTCCATCACGTGAATGCGATTCACAGATGTGGTGCTGATCATGTGAATGGTGTCTCTCATGTCAGACTGCATTTGAATCCTGGCCTGGGTACTTCCTAGCCTTGTCATCTTGAGCAAATTGTTTAAGCTTTCTGTGCCTCGGTTTCCTCATCCATAAATGGAAATAATAATAACACTCACCTCGTAAGGTTACAAGGAGAATTAAGTGAGTTAATCCTGTGCTAGCACAGTACATGGCACCTGAAAGCTGGACTGACCGTTCCTCCAGCACTTAATGGAGGTTTCTTCTCTCCCTCTGCGTTTCAGCTTGTCGCTAATTAGTTTTCAGCTTCAGTGTTCCTTATGTATCCTCCTTTTAAAGCAAAGTTCGTCGTGCATATAAGTTTAACAACACATATTAAAGAATAAAAGCAATTTAAAACCGTATAATGGTTTAAACGACGGCGGGAAATCTTGCTAAGTTTCCAAACCAAGTCAGTCCTGTGGCTCGGCATCCCCGGTAACCATGTGCGTCCCCTGCAGTTCTCAGCGGTTTTCAGACTGTTCTGTCTTAAAGAAGAAAAATATTGAAATAATTGCTTGACTTATTATTTTTCAATGTCAGAATTAAAACAGACACTATTTACCAGCACCTTTAATGGATTGAAGCCCCTCAAAGAGTTTCGCTGTTGGGAAATACTACTGTAGACATTTTTTTAAAGATTGGCCCTGAGCTAACATCTGTTGCCAGTCTTTCTTTTTTCTTCTTCTTCTCCCCAAAGCCCCCCAGCACATAGTTGTACACTCTAGTTGTAGTTCCCTCTGGCTGTGCTGTGTGGGACGCTGCCTCAGCATGGCCTGATGAGCGGTGCCACGTCCACACCCAGGATCTGAACCGGCGAAACCCTGGGCTGCTGAAGCGGAGCGAGGAAACAACCACTCAGCCCCGGGGCCAGCCCCATGATTTTAGTGACTGTAAATGGAGCTTTACTAGGCGTTGCTTTGTTTCAGCTTCTGTTTTATGTTCAAGTTGTGTGGCAGCATATCCTTTGTCCTTGTCCCTTGTGTTTGGGTTTAATGTTTCATGGTGTCATTTTTTTTTTTTTTTTTTGAGGAAGATTAGCCCTGAGCTAACATCTGCCACCAATCCTGCTCTTTTTGCTGAGGAAGATTAGCCGTGAGCTAACATCTGTGCCCATCTTCCTCTGTTTTATATGTGGGACACCTGCCACAACATGGTTTGATAAGTCGTACGTAGGTCATGGTGTCATTTTTTAATGGAAAAAATGAGTAAAGTTTATTTGATATTTCAATATGGCAAAAATTGAAATGCTTATTATTGCCTACTTGTGAAGGTGTCGGTAGGTGGGGTACATATGGAATCATTTGTATGATTTATTGTAGTAAATGAAACAGGATGAGGTGTCAGTTTCAGATTCAGTGTAGTGTCTGATTCAAATTTGAGAAATCTATTGATATCTTTAAAACAAAACTGCTTTTTTTAAAAAAATACTTTGCATTTGAGTGCTGTTCTTGGTACGTGGATATTGGTCTTAGTTCTGGCTCAGTTTTGATAGGAATTAACATCAAGTGGACTTCATATCACTTAGTGCTTTTTCTATCAATTTTTTAGAAAGTTAGTCATTTCACTTTGTGGTTTTGAGTTAGCGGTTCATAAGCAAGTAATTAGACATTTTTAGAAGAAGAAAAAATTTTAACCTAATCATAATCTTAACTCATCTTTTTGACATAGTAAAGAAACATGAGCAGTCCACAGAAGTAAGACTTCGTTATGTGACAAACTAAACAAATTGTTTTTGAGTTTAGTGTTTTTCCACAGCTTGCATTCATTAGACGTCTTTATTTAGTTTTATACACCCATTTCTTCTTTATATTTTGCTTCATCAGAACATTGTTCCTGTTCTTCTTCATCAGTAGTTAGTAAACTTGGGAGCTTCCTAACTCGCAAAACTGAAGCCATATTATCTTAAGAATAGTGCGCATACTAATAAGCATCAAAATTAATGTTACTCAGAAATGTCAAATGCATTCTCGGAGTCATGATTTTACTTATAATTACTGTATCAGAGAACATCCTGCAGCCTATCATTCTATTATTCATTAAATTATGTCTGTAATGAACCTTATTTAAAGTAATTGAAAGGGAATAATAGAAAATTTTAAAGGAATGACATTTTCTTCCAGTACTGAACTTACAAAATGCTGTCATCTGAAGGCTCTCTGGGGCCTTCTTTTAATAAGTAAATAAGGATCAACCCTTTCTTTGTAAATTAATGCTGCTGAAATGCTTAAATGACATTGATCTTGAGTTAAACAGCATCATTGATCTTATTTATGCTTTTAATTGACATTATCGGTGAAAAAGTGTTTGGTTTGCTCAGGCACCACCGTGTTTCTGATGTACTTATAAAAAATTCACGAGGTTTTATTTTATTTCTCAGATTTTGTAAATACGTAGATATATAGGGAAAAAATTAAATATACAATGGGATGTTCTTTTTTCCAGAGACTAAGTTTACTGAAAATATTTTCTTTTAAATTAATTTCAGCAAATAGGACTAATTTGGGGGAGTTAATCCCTTACAAGGTAAGGCGTGGAATTCCTGAGCCATTGTATAGAGACTGTCCGGAAAGACAAGCAGTTGAGGTCTGTAGCCTCCTGTTTTGGATTTGTACCGATGGACACCAGAAAGAAGATGGTAGTGTTAGCTCTTATATATTTGAAGGCTGTCAGAAAGAGGAGAGATTCTAGATTTTCCCTTTATTTCAGGAGGTGGCATTAGTACCTGGGAGGGAGAAAGTGGTGAAGGAAGGTGTAAGTCGGGGAAGGCAGACGAGGAAGGTGGTGGGTGGGGGAGGAGGAGGCAGGCTGGCTGGGAAGTAGGTTTTAGCTCAAATTGAGAGACCTTTCTAATGAGTGCAGAGTTGTCCAAGGAATAAGCTACTTCTTGAGGTCGTGGGCCTTTCCGTCTCTGGAATTATTTTCTTTTTAAAATATAGGTTGAAGGAGGATCTAAAAATGTACGGCTCGGCTCACTAATTGGTTTGCTGGTTGAAGAAGGACAAGATTGGAAACGTGTTGAAATTCCCAAAGATGTAGGTCCTCCGTCACCACCTTCGAAACCATCAGTGCCTCACCCCTCACCAGAACCACAGACTTCTATCCCTGTCAAACCGGAAGTCACACCAGGGAAACTGCAGTGAGTATGTTTCTTTGAATGATGTTAAAAAAATACGTTATGACAACTTTCCGGGTATTTTAATCATTACCGTGTTTGAAACATCTTTGCACAGGGAGTAGGGAGTTGCTGACCTTCCGTTTTTCCTCTTAGGAACCTGAGGCCTAGGAATGATTATTTTATCACCACTGTTCACTCCACACAGTTTCTGAGTCCCTGCTGTGCTCCAGGCCCTCGAAAGCCCTGCACACCCAGTGCAGACAGAGCGAACAGTCTGTGTCCACACGGAACTTAGGTCTCAGGATTCCAGCATGGAATTCAGTGTACCAAACTTCACTTTGTGTTCCCATTCGTGGAGTTGTAATTACTGTAAGGTGAATCCCAGTTTCAAATGTATAACCGATATAAAGTGGAACTAGCATTTTCACATGCGTTCCTTTTCCACCTATTCTGCGTTCGAGTTTCTGAGACAGACCAGAGCTCCATTTTGTTCAGTCCTGTAGAAGCACAGACACTCAGTAAACGTTGTTTTGCTTTAGCTTTACGTAGCTTTAATTGATGGACTCTGAAAATTCGAAAGGTTTCATTTATTTATTTTAATCTCTATAATTATACAAAATTTCTTAATAAGGAAAAGTTCTTCATAGAGAAAAGGTCCTATTAAGAACCACATTTGAACTTAAATAAAAATGCAGACTCTTTCATTTAAAAAAATTTTTTTCCTTTAGTATACCAATGTCAGTTCCTGTCAGAAAAAATTCAGTATTTTGAAGTATTGAGTTTAAAATTCCCGTTATCACACACAGTGTTTCTGATGCCACTGCCTTGACTCCTCTTTCTTTTCTCTTCTTTCATTTACCAGGAAAATCAGAAGGTAGGATCACGGGGGTTTGTACTTAGTGCTCTTCTCCTCTTGCCAAGGTAGTAGCATGTGCACTGTCATTCTGTCAAGAGCCGTCATTTGAGACTTAACATGGGTCTGAGGCCCCTCGGTGTAGGTTCAAGCCGGCTCACCCATGAACCTACACATTGTTGGTCCATGCCATGATTTTCTTTTTTAAAAACCTTTTTTTAATTCATTGGTTACTAGTTAATCTTACATAAAAATCTAAAGTTTCTGTTTCTCTTGAAGAATGTGACAGTGTGATGGCACTGAGCCCATATCAGCTAGAGCTGTTTCCCTGAAATACAGCAAGTGCCACATTTGTTCCTCTCCGTTTCTGAGTTACAAACTCTGGACCCAGCACATTTGACTCTCTTTATCTGTCTGTCATCATTTGTGTCTGCTGCTTTCTTGGAGGCCTTAATTGAAGAGTAGACACTTACTTGTCATGCGACCTTTTGTTGTGACTCAGTTTCCTTGTCTATATAATCAACATAATTGTTTTTGCCTCACTTACTCTTCTGGAGTATATGTAAAGTAAAAATGCTTTCATGTAAATACCAAGGGCTTTAAAAAATAGATGAAGGATACAATTCAATGACAACAAAACAAACAACCTAATTAAAATGGGCAGGGGACTCAAAGATACATTTCTTCCAAAGAAGACACACGGATGGCCAACAAGCACACGAAAGTATACTCAACATCACTCATCATTTGGGAATTGCAAATCAGAAACACAATGAGATATCACTTCACACTCATTAGAATGGCAGTTATCAGAAAACAAAAACACAGAAAATAAATTGACAAGGATGTGGAGAAATTAGAACTCTTGTGCACTGTTGGTGGAATATAAAATGGTGCAGTCACTGTGGAAAACAATATTGCAGTTCCTTGAAAAATTAAAAATACAATTTCCATGGGATCTAGCAGTGTGTGTTTTGGGTATATACTCAAGCAAGGACTCAAAAAGATATTTGTATACCCATGCTCAAGCAGCATTATTCACAGTTGCCAAAAGGAGGAAACATTGCATGTGTCCAAAATGCGCCGTGTGCATACAGTGGAGTGTTTTTCAGTCTTAAAAAGGAAGAAAATGCTAAACCTACACTATGACATGGGTGAACCTTGAAGACATTATGCTGAGTCAAATAAGCCAGTCACAAAAGGATAAATACTGTATGTTTCCACTTACAGGAGTTACCCAGAGTAGTCACATTGGTAAAGAGAGTAGAATGATAGTTGCCAGAGACTGAGAGGAGGGAGTGTGAAGTGATATCTCATTGTGTTTTTGATTTGCAATTCCCAAATGATGAGTGATGTTGAGTATACTTTCGTGTGCTTATTGGCCATCTGTATATCTTCTTTGGAAGAAATGTATCTTTGAGTCCCCTGTCCATTTTAATCAGGTTGTTTGTTTTGTTGTCATTGAATTGCATCCTTCATCTATTTTTTTAAAGCCCTTGGTATTTACATGAAATAGTAACCAGTTAAATTTGTATGAAAATGTTTTGCGAGTAAAATAAGCCAGATTAGTCCAGATTAATTTATTTGACTATGACTATCTGTGGGAGGCATTTTAGCCTTATTGTAAGTTTTTATTTTTCTAATCATCAGAAAAACTGTTGACATTTAGATATCTTTGAATCAAATATAGGTGTTAATTTGTTCCATTAATCTGCATGTTTTCTTCTTAGGTTTCGTTTAAGTCCAGCTGCCCGCAATATTCTGGAAAAACACACACTGGATGCTAGCCAGGGCACAGCCACCGGCCCCCGGGGGATATTCACCAAAGAGTATGTGTGCACTTTTTGTAATAACCAATTCCATCATTTATCACCATCATCTTTTTCTGGAAATACTTAAAGAAGAGCTTTCTCAGTGTTAAGGTTTAAAGGGAAGGACACTGTTCTCTTGTGCCTTTAATTGCTTTTGTCAGTATAAAATTGTACTCTATGCGAGGGTTGTTTTCTGAATAATTGCAGCATTACTGAAGAAGAGATCTAATTTGGTAACTGAGCCAGATCTTTAGAAATGATGTTTAATGCAGAAAATTAGGGTACAGAATGGCGAAACTTCACATTGTTTTAAATTTGTATGAAATAATCATACAATCATTTAAATTTCTAAAACATGGAAATACACTTTTAAAAATAATTTCATTCTTCTCCATTTGGATTTTGTTCACTTGTTTGATCAAAGCAATTTCCAAATGAGGTTGGTTCTCTTTTTGGGTTTTATTTTCTATTCCATTGATCCAACCATGAGTTAATACCTTTCTTTTTTAGTACAACACTCTTAATTAGAAATATTTTATAGTAAGCTTTAAAATCCGATGAAGCTATCTTTGTTCTTCTTTTTCAATAAATCAGTTTTCTTGGTTTATCTTGTTCTATTTTGCTTCCAAATGAATTTTAATCAATCCTTCTAGCCCCAGGCAGGGCTGGGCAGGACTGTGGTATTTTTATTGGGATTGTATCACATTTTAAATTAATTTAGGGAGGACTGACATCTTTATGATGTTGAGTCTTCCTGTTAAAGAACTCTGGTGTGTCTTTCCATTTGTTTACATTTTGTGTCTTTCAAGAGTATATTAAAACAGGTGGCCCCTGCTCTATTGAAACTTAGTCTAGTGGAGAAAACAAAGATGAATCAAATAGGCATACGAACTAATGTGAAATTACTGTAGTGATGTGTGCCACATTTCTGTTGGCAGTAATGTTAAATTCTTCAAATTGAGTTAATGTTTTAAAGCAGTATGCTTATTCTCTGTTTATCTAATATTGATAAGAAATTGATCAGTAATATTGGCCAAAATTTTTATAAGTTGAGATAGAGCAAAGGTTATGAAATTATTAAGTGGCAGTGCTGGACCAGGTGGCTTTTCTTTTATTGGGTTATTTTACCCTTCATTAAAGCATTGGTTTTTTGTTGGATATTTATTGAAGGCGATACAGCTTTAATGCTCAGCTTTCCTCATTTATCTGTCTTACACCCTTACTGATTTGTTGATCAAACACTTGTGTGTGGTTTTCTTAAACACCAACTGTGACGTTGGTGCCCTACTTACATGAGTTGGAATCCAGCTGTCCTGACCCCTGCCTGAAGGACAGCGTCTTAGACTTTGGGTTTTTACTTAAAGGACTTAAAACTTTCACTTAGCCATAAAAAATTAAAATAAAGAATCTTGATAGCTAGTTACACCTAGTTTTTCCCCACATCAATCCTTACTTAGTGTCTACTATTTATGTCTTAACTTTGTTAAACTTCTGCCAGTCTCTATCTTAGTAAAACCCTGTAAAACTGAGATAAAGCAACTTTCTTTATAACAAAGTAGACTTACCTATGTATCTGAGGGAAAGGATAAAGAATCTGTATTTAGTTCATCAATCATTGAAGATTTGATGAAATGTAAAATAATCATAGCCATACCTTAGAAGGATCAATTTTGCAAATTTGTGAAAGATAAATTAGAGCAGAAAAAGGCTTGAGATAAGGAGATAGGTTAATAGGCTCCTAAAGTAATCCAGCTAAGAGATAGTGAATACTTGAATGTGGATGGAAGATGTAAAAGGGAGATGACTGACAGAGACAGCGTTGTAAGGATAGAATCCAGAACAAGTCAAGGAATGAATTTGGGATTCTGATCTGAGTGATGAAATTTTGGCTTCATAAACAGAAACAAGATTTGGGAGGCATTTGTTTTGGTGGAATAACTAATGTGTTTGGTTTGAAGCTTATTGTCCATGCTGACAAGCCATCTGTTTGAAGCTTATTGTCCGTGCTGACAAGCCATTCAGATATCAGGGTCAGTGAGGTGAAGATGCATTTCAGGAGATAGTTTGGGACTAGAGAGGTAGATTTGGTAGATAATAAAGTGACAGTTAAGATCACCAATAGGTAAACTTGTGAGAAGGCCAAAACTCCTGTGTGTGGGGGGATATCTGTGAGATGGATAAAAAGTCAAGAAAGAAGGGGTCTGAGCAAAGGCTCTGCAAGTTGGTGATTAGGTGACGTTTCAGAAGGCAGTTCTTTGGCGTGGTGGCGCTGGAGTGAACAAGCAGAGCTTCCTTCCTATATCCCCTCTCTTTCCATACGCACTTAATACATATGTGATGGACAAGGATCTTTTTAAACCCAAAGTGAAAGCTACAATAGTAATCTGACATTTCCTAAGGAGAATAAAATCATGTTATCTTGCTGTGTACCCTAAGAAAGCAGTGTTGAAGAGTTATGTTTTAATATTCTTGCTGTCTTTCTCTGTTACCCAGTTCTCCTCCCTGCCCTTACCCTTTAACTTCCCACCATAAGAGAGTCAACCTGTGGTCTTCAGAATATGACATATTACAAAAGACTTCATGAGAAAAATAGATCCTTAAAGCATGCATTATTATGGATTTTTGCTTTGTATACCTCTAAAGATATCTGTGTTTTATCATTAAGGTGAGCTTTTGAAAAAAATTTTGTCCTTGTGTCAAATACAGAAATGTCATCTGATAAAACTGAAAAGTTGTAAGCTTTGGTATAAGCGGCTCCCACAGTACCTCAGCACACATTCTTCAAATAGTGAGGGACATCCTTCCTCCTCACGTTGTCAACCAAACGTGCAAGTAAAATGGAAGGGTCAGTTCCATCTGCTGAGGAACTCCCTCTGTTCCAGTGTATTTATTGAAGAAAATCGTAAGTGTCATGGTCGCTTTTTTAATGTTGCATTGAAGCAAACATATTGCCCAGAATATATCTTGTGCAAAAGCATATAGACTTGACTTTGCCTGTGTGTGTAACTAATTTAAGAAAACAAGTGCTGGGGTCACAGTTACAGGCAGAACACTTTTAGGTTCTTTGCCTACAGCCTAACATCGTTGGTGTATCTACATCTGAAATCATAGTTGTAGTTAATGTTTGTGTTCATATCACAGCATCAGAAATCTGGTAGGCATGACTGACAAGTGTCTGTTACATTTTCACTGGTATCTCTTTTTAAAACTAATTCATAACACCCTCAAATGGATGAAGGGATCTGGCAGAGAAGGTTCCACCCTGAGTGAACTCAAAGCATCCTGCAGAAGTGTATGATGGCATTTTTCTTTTTATTTTTATAGCTCTTATAGCCTGCCTAATTCTTCAGGTTTAGTCTGATAAATTATTTAATGGACAGAAATCATTAAAATCATTCTCTGCATTATAGAAGCTAAATCGTTGACTGTTATTAAGCAGTAATTCACATTTATACTCCCTGAGGTCTGGAAGTAAAGTCAGCAGTACAATGTGCTGGGACCAAGGGCCGGACTGATTCTCTGCTCCCTTGTGAAGAGGGTTAGAGTCCCTTACTTTTACTCTTCACCAAGTGCTGTTTGACCCGAGAATCTCAATTACTGCAGGGGTGGAACCGCACTGCCTTTTCTTGATAAAATACTGTGTATAGGAGTTAAGCTGGTAGTGAAATAAAAATGTGTCTATTTGGTGGGACCAACCTTTTTTTAAAATAGATGTATTTAGGCATTATTTTAGATTTTTTAGTCTCCTCACATGTTCATTGTGTTTGGTGTTTTTATTTTTAACTGATTACTGAGGTAAATTAATGATCCCTGTGCAAAGACATTAATGTGTCTTGGATCTGCCACTCTGATGCTACACTTTATTTGGTTGAAAACACAGATTAGTAAGATTTTGTTAGAGATGTATTTAATTCCTTTATGGGATGGAGAGAGACTAGTAATGTTAGGCTGTGACTTGTATGAGCTCTTACAGGCTAAGATGTTTCATAGAAGGCATTTTTCTGAATCACAAAAGGCCTTATTTTATACCAGGGCTCACACTTTTATCAATCTGGCTAGGGTTTTGGCTCATGCCGGTAAATTGTATTGGCAGTCATTTATTTCTCATGTAAATGATATCACAATTAACTGGAAAATGCTGCTTTTGGTTATAAATATCCTGAATAAGTTAAAACTTACCTTCCAAACATAAGTAAGTTTGTTCTCAAAAGCCCTAGCAGTCCATAAGATGGTTCTCCAGGACGCTTGTCGTCAACAGCCCTAGCAGTCCATAAGATGGTTCTCCAGGACGCTTGTTCTCAAAAGCCCTAGCAGTCCATAAGATGGTTCTCTGGGACGCTTGTCGTCAAAAGCCCTAGCAGTCCATAAGGTGGTTCTCCAGGACGCTTGTCGTCAAAAGCCCTAGCAGTCCATAAGGTGGTTCTCCAGGACGCTTGTTCTCAAAAGCCCTAGCAGTCCATAAGGTGGTTCTCCGGGACGCTTGTCGTCAAAAGCCCTAGCAGTCCATAAGATGGTTCTCCAGGACGCTTGTTCTCAAAAGCCCTAGCAGTCCATAAGGTGGTTCTCCGGGACGCTTGTCGTCAACAGCCCTAGCAGTCCATAAGGTGGTTGTCCAGGACGCTTGCTCTCAAAAGCCCTGGGCAGTCCATAAGATCGTTCTCCAGGACGCTTGCCCCCTCAGTCTTTCGTAACCATCACTGTCTTGGGGCCCATGCTTTGAGAATCAGCATTGGGAGCCTCCGGTTATTTCCATGCTACCCTTTGTGTAATGGGCAAAAGGCCTTTGTCAGGAGGTCCTACCCTTCATTCAGTCCCAGAGTAGCTGTTAATTTGAGGTATCCTTATTTAATTCTATTCTAGTCTGTTCTAGTGACAAAATGTTCTTCTGATTGCCTCACTTTCTGTTTAATCTGCCTACTTGTGCATAGGTATTAGAAAAGCAGCAGAACGTTTGCAGGCTTTGGAGTTGGCCATGCCTGGGTGTGATCCGGGCCTGGCAGCTCTTAGCTGCCCACCTCTCCAGCCTCCTCTTTGAGCCCCCTCACTGTGTTCACTGCACTTCTGCCGCACTGGCCTGCTTTCTGCTCTTAGAAGAAGCCTTGTTCTCCTTGACGTCTGCATATTTCTGTGTCTTCCCTCCACATCTCATCCATTTTCTAAGAGCTCTCTCATATTCCCTGTTGCTAATCATGGGTGTCTCATTCTCTCTTATCTCCAGGGATGCTCTCAAACTGGTCCACTTGAAACAGCTGGGCAAGATCACTGAGTCCAGACCCGCCCCAGCCCCTCCAGCTGCTCCCACGGTACCTCTGCCTGCACAGGCCCCAGCAGGACCATCTTATCCCCGGCCCATGATCCCACCCATGTCGATTCCGGGACAACCTAATGTAGCGGTAATGTCTTCTGAGAAGATTCTGTTTTTCAGACTTTAAGTGAGAGAGAAAATAAGAACCGTTACTGTCTGTTTTACTAATACTTTTAGCAATCTATTTTAGTAGTAGCTAAAGTGATAAAGACAGAATTCTCCAAATGCTTTGTTCTGCAGATTTTCTAACACAAACCAAGTTGGTTTGTACAGTGCTAAGTTCCAAATAGAGCACAGGAATTGTGGTTCCGTTTAGATACCAAAGTTCTGCAGTTTCAGTACCGCATATATGCTCTGTAATCATGACACTTTCCACGTCTTTTTTCTCAGGTGTGGTACTAATAATCCGTAACTGGCACTGGCTCCCTTTTGTGGATGTGTTTCATTCTTTGAATAGACAGTCTCACTGTGAAGGACTGCAGACACTGTACAGCTGGTTATTCTTGTCTTCTCGGGTACATGCAGTATAACAGCCCTTTTCTTTTGTGAGGAAGATTGGCCCTGAGCTAACATTTGTTGCCAGTCTTCCTCTTTTTGCTTGAGGAAGATTGTTGCTGAGCTGACATCTGTGCTGCTCCTCCTCTATTTTCTGTGGGATGCTGCCACAGCATGGCTTGACGAGCGGTGCTAGGTCTGTGAAGAAATATATTCCAATATAATATTTTAAAAGAATTGAAAACAATCTAACTTTCATAGGAAACATTTTTTTAATGTAGATTAATGATTCATGACTACATGCACAAAAAGTTTATGTGCACTAGTCAAATCTTGTTTGTTTAAAAAAGTTACTCGGATTAGGATGGTAAACCTTACTTTCACTTCTTCTGGTATGTAGAGAGCGTTTATTCTATGGGATCAACTGCTTTGCTAACATGAAATGTCTGATTTCCTAAGAGAGCATCTGTAGAAAAAGAAATCAGCTGCACTTTCCTCCTCTCTGTGTTGTCCTGAAGGGACTGGGCCACAGTCCCGGAACGGAGCGAAGGAAGGGAAGGAATTAGACGTAATTGAAGGTCCATCCTGCCTTTGTTAGAGGTTCAGGGGACAGAGCGGAAAAGCTACAGTGAAGTTACAGGAAGATTTTATTATCTCGTTCATACTTTAGATCACGAATTTCTAGGAAGTAAGGTACTCCCGTGATTTTTTAAAAAGACAAGCCAAAATAGAAATAGTTTAGCAGATTATGAAGTATATTGCATTATTTTTTTCTACTGTATGCCATTATTATAAGTAAGAATTGCTTTTACTTGTTGATTTATTGGCTGCTTTGAGTTTTATTAAGAAATGATGTTTGTAACAAAAGTTGCTTACAGGTAGTGGCTGTGTGTGTGTGTGCATGTTCATGTCCGTGGGGGAGTTATTCAAGATTTGGCAGATTTCTTTTTAAATCATCTTAAACATAGTAACATAAGATGTCCCATTCACAATTGAAACATGTTTTCCTACTTTTTTCTAGTAGTATACTATAAAATTAAAACTCCTCAGATTTCTTATATTCCTCCTTATACTAAGAATTTTTAATAGTACTTTTCCTGTATTAATCTTTAGTTATTATCATAAGTAACAGACTGGATTTCAGTTAGGAAGTTTGTCGGTTTATTCCCCTTCTGTTTATGGTTTAATGGAAAATTGCTATTTCTTTGCAGGGCACATTCACTGAAATCCCCGCCAGCAATATTCGAAGAGTGATTGCCAAGAGGTTGACTGAATCTAAAAGTACCATACCTCACGCATATACTACTGTCGATTGTGACCTTGGAGCTGTTTTAAAAGCTAGACAAAATCTGATCAGAGGTTGGTAAAGTTGAATTTACATAATGCAATACACGTGCTAACTATCATGAAATCGTTTATTTATAAAATGTACATTATGTAGCTTTCTGTTTCAATTTCATCATCTGGGCATATTTTAGTGCTAGAGAAAATGATTGGTTCTCTTTTCCTGTAAGAATAAATTGGTTCCATAGTATTGAAGAAATAATACTTTTTGGTATGATACCTGAATGAAGCAGTCTCAGCATGTAAAAAGTCCAAAACTGATTTAAGAATGTTTTGGATTATAAATACTGCTTAGATATCACTCTTCCTTAGGCAAGCTTTTTTATTTCTTCAGAATTCATTTTCAGGTGATTAAATGTGTAATGTTCCTCCCCCAAATCAATTAAAACTTAGGTTACTGGGAGACGTGAATTTTTAGAATGAACTGATGTTTTCTTTCTTTCTTTTCAACATGTAAGACATTTGTTTCATTTTCTTGCCTTATTGCACCATTGAAGACCTCTGGTACAGTGATGGATGTGGGTGGTGAAAGCAGGCTGCCTTGCCTCGTTCTTGGTCTTGGGAGAAAGCGTTCAGTCTTTTGTGTTAGCTGTAGGTGTTTTGTGGCTTTCCTTTGCAGGTTGAAGAAATTTGTATTTCTGATTTGCTGAGAGTCTTAAGCATGAGTGGATGTTGAATTTTGTCAAATGCTTTCTGTGCATCTTTTGAGATAATCTTTCCTTTTTCTGTTAATATGATGAATTATGTTGGTTGATTTCCAAATGCCAAATCAACCTTGTTTACGTGAGTGATTCCTCATTAATGAGTGATTAAAACTCATTTAACCATTAGTTTTCTTATATGTTCTTTGATTCCATTTTCTAAAATTTTGCTAAGAATCTTTCCACCTGTGCACATGAGAAATACTGACCTGTAGTTTTCCTTTATTGAGGTGTTTTTTCTGGGTTTGTGGTCAGATCTCATAGACTGAGTTGGGAAATGTTTCCTCCTTTATTTTCTGGAAGAGTCTGGGTAGAATTAGTTTTATTTCTCATTGTTTGGTACAATTCAGCAGTGAAGCTTTTTAGGCCTGTGGTTTTCTATACAGGGGACTTTTTAACTACTAATTCAATTTTTTAAATAGATACAAGTTATCTATTTCTCCTTGAATGAGCTTTGGTAGTTTGTGTCTTTCAGGTTTGTTTATGTTATCTAAGTTACCAATTTACTGGCATAAAGTTGTTCATTAGATTACTTTATTATACTTACAACACCTGTATAATCTGAAGTGATGTCCCCATTTTCAGTGTTAGTAATTTGTGTCTTTTGACTTTCTTGATCAATCTGGCTAGAGGGTTATCAATTTTATTATCTCGTCGAAGAACCAGCATTTGATTTCACTCACTTTTTCTATTGTTTTCTATAATTTTGTTTTCACTGATTTCTGTTCTCACCTTTATTATTTCCTTTTTTCTATTTGTTTTGGTTTAATTTGCTGGGTTTTTTCCTGATTTCTTAAGGTGAAAACTGAGATCAATACGATAAACTTCATTTATTTCTAACATAAGCATATAATGCTTTTCAATTCCCTTAAGCAGTGCTTTAGCTATATGGCACAAATTTTGATGTTTTATTTTCCTTTTCATTCAATTCAAGATGTTTTCTAATTTCCCTTGTGATTTCTTTTTTGATCCATGAATTATTTAAAAGTGTAAGTTTAATTTCCAAATATTTGGGGGACTTTTCAGTTAACTTTCTTTTATGGTTTCTAGTTTAACTCCATTGTGTTTAGAGAACACACTTTGTTTGAATTGTCTTAAATTTGTTGAGAGTTATTTTATAGTCATAGTAGGGTCTGTTTTGGTGCATGTTTCATGTGTACTTGAAAAAAGTGCATTTTCTACTTTTGTGGGGGTTTTTTTCCTACTGTTGTTTTGAGACGGGTTTCATAAATGCCAGTTAGGTGAAGTTTGTTGGTAGTATTGTTCATGTCTTCTGTGTCCTTACTGATTTCCCATCTGTTTGTTCTGTCAATTCTTAAAGGAGGAGTGTTAAAATCCCCACTTATTATGGTGGATTTGTCTGTTGCCCCGTTTAGTTCCATCAGGTTTTGCTTTATACGTTTTGAAGGTCTCTTATTAGACACATACACATTAGGACTTCTGTGTGTTCTTGCTGAAAAGACCTGTCACATAACGTCCCTCTGTTCCTGGTGTGATAAGCCTTGTCCTCAAACCTTCTTTCTCTGATGTTGGTAGAGCCACTCCAGCTTTCCTTGATTAGTGTTTGTGTGTCTTTTTACATCTTTTTAGTTTTAACATGTCTATGTTTTTATATTTAAACTGATTTCTTGCAGATGTCATGTAATTGGTTCTCACTTTTTTATCCAGTCCCACAGTCTCTGTTTTTAAATTAAGGTGTTTAAACCATTCACATTTAATGATTTTATCCTCACTTTTTCTTTTGTACCATTTGTTGTCCTTTGTACCATTTTGTCCTTTGTTTTTATTTGTCCCATTCTTCTTCCTGTTTTTCCTGTTTTCTTGACTCTTTTTGGATTTGTTAATTTTTTATTTATGATTCCATTTTATTTCTATTCTGTCTCTTCTCTCTGGTTTTTTGTGTGTGTGTGTGTGGTGGTTCCCTTAGGATTTATAATGTAATTCTTTAACCTGTCACAGTCCACCCTCACGTTTCCTTATAGCACTTGTATGTATAGTGTAAGAACCTTACAATACACCTGCATTTCCTCCCTTCCGTCCTTGGTGCTGCTGCTCTCGTGTTTTACTTCTGTGTACGATGTAAGCCCCAAAATATATGTATGATGTTTTTTGCTTTATCAAATCAACTATATTTTAAAAAGTTTTAAAAAATGAGAAAAAAAAATCTTTTTATATTTGTCCATATTTTTACCATTTTTATCATTCTTCATTTCTTTGTATAGATCCAGAGTCCTACCTGGTATCATACTTCTGCTCAAATAACTTCTTTTAATGTTTCTTGTAGTACAGGTTGGCTGGCAATGAATTCTCTCAGCTTTTGTCTGGAAAGGCTATCCTCCTTCATTTTTTCCCTTTCTTTAATTATTAGTTTTGGCAAAGCGTATGTAAAATAAAATTTACCCTCTTAACCATTTTCAAGTGTATGTAGTTCAGTGGTGTTAAGTACGTTCATATTGCTGTGCAGTCATCACCACCATCCATTCACAAAACTCTTCATCATGCAGCTCGGAAACTGTGTACCTATTAAAGACTAGCTCCCTATCCCTCTTTCCCCTCGACCTCCAGCAACCGCTATTCTGCTCTCTGTCTCTGAATTTGACTACCTTAAGTACCTCGTATGAGTGGACCCGTACAGTACTTGTCCTTTTGTGACTGGCATATTTCACTTAGCATATTATCCTCAAGCTTCATCCATATTGTAGCTTGTGTCAGAATTTTCTTCCTCTTTAAGACTAATAGTATTCCATTTTATATATACACCACAATTTGTTTATCCATTTATTTGTCAATGGACACTTGAGTTGCTTCCACCTTTTGACTATTGTGAATAATGCTGCTGTGAACGTGGATGTACAAATCTCTCTTTGTGGCCAAGCTTTCAAATCTTTTGGTTATATCCCCAGAAGTGTTATTTATGGATCATGTGGTAATTGTATTTTTAATTTTTTGAGAAGCTGCTGTACTGTTTTCCTTTGTGGCTGCACCATTTTGCATTCCCATCAGCAGTGCACAAAGGTTCCAATTTCTCAACGTCCTCACCAACGCTTGTATTTTTTTTTTTTCTTTTTGATAGTAGCCATCCTAATCAGTGTGTCTCCTTCATTTTTGAAAGATATTTCTGCTGGGTATAGAATTTTGAGTAAACAGATTTTTTGTTTCAGTACTTTAAATAAAGATACCATTCCATTATCTTCTGACTTGCAAAATATGTGCTGCCATTCTTATCTCTGTTCCCCTGTATCTGATGTTTTCCCTGCTCTCTGGTTGCCTTCAAGATTTTCTCCATTAGCAGTTTGACTGTTACGTGCCTGAACGTTTTTCTCTATTGTATGTATCCTGTTTGGGTTTCTCTCAGCTTCTTGGATTTGTGGTTTGTTGTCTTTCATTAATTTTGGACCTCACAGCCATTATTTTTAACTATATCATCTGCTTTGTGTGTTTTCTCTCTGGGACTCTAGTTATGAATGTTAGACTAAATTTTCCAAAGCTCTTAGATGCTCTGTGCTTTTTTTTTCCACTCTATTTTCTGTTTGTGTTTCATTTTGGAATTTCTTGTTGACCTGGCTTCACTTTCACTGATTCTTTCTCTGCTCTTAAGTCTGTGAAGCTTGACAAAAGAGATTCTTTCTTTGATAGCATGGTTCCCCCCCTGGATTTCCGTGTGAATGTTTGTATAGTTTCCATCTGTCTACAGATATTCCCCATTGGTTCCTGCACGCTGTCCCATTCTCTGTTCTGTTCCACCATATTCTGACAGTGCTTAATCACTTCCTGTGTCCGTTTTTCCTCAGAGGGCACCATTGCCCTTTACTTTCAGTTCACCTGTTTGCTTTGTAATGTCAGCTCCCTAATGGACTCTAGGAAGTTATGATTTTATAGTTTATCCTACTTTTTCTCCCACTTATAGGATGGGAACAGCTTGCTCTTGTGGCTTTCTACATCCTAAGTGAAAGCAGGACTGATGAGTCAGTATAGGTACAGACTTTCAAGGCGACTTTCAAGACTTTGAAGACAAGCTGATAGCTTTGGAAAGTTCAAGGAACCAAGTGGAAAGCTGTTTGAAGGAAAGTGATCAATACTCAAAAAGTTAACTCTGGAAGCTCCCCTTATAGGTCTCAAGTCATGCTTGCTTGGTTAAGATATCATGGTTATTGTGGGAATACTTTTCCTCTCATGAGGCAGCAAGCAAGCAGTAGTGTTTCAGTGAAGGTGTGGGTTAGTGTAGCATCTTTGCCTGCTCCAGCTTTTTGTGTGTCCTTGCAATTGGGAATTTCCTGATGAGTCTTGAAAGAGCCCACGTGATCTCTGTGTCTCCACTCCTCTTTCTTGTGTAAGGTTATATCACATTCTATAAGCATGTTCCACACTTTGTTTTATAACAAGATGCAAATGAAAAGGTTTGATATTCTCTTACAAACTATTTCCTACTCTCTTCTTAATAAATGTCACCAATGGTCTCCTTTCAGTATGTTTGAAAATTTCGGTAATAAAGAGTTAAAAATGGAGGAACTTGAAAAAAATCTCCTTTGCATATGTTAAATTTGAGATGATGCCTGTTAGACATGTAAGTGGAAATGTCATGTGAGAAATCGGATGAGTCTGAAGCTCCAGATACATCAGGATTAGAGGTGGAATTTGGAGGAATCATCAAATCTTCATCATATAAATGGTATCAAAACCATGTAACTGAAAGTTCTCAACTGGGGAGATGCCAACACTGAGAGGAAGGGACTGAAAGTGAGTGAGTGAGCGGAGAGTGGAAAAAAACAGAGAGCTTAGTGACAGAGAAGCCAGGAAGAGACAGTGTTTCAGTCAAGATGAAGAGAGTGATACAGTCTAGAAAACTAAATGTTGCAGTCTGATGAGCGCAGAGATTTGAGGTGAGGACCATGGACTGGGCGGCAGGTTTGGAAATGATCAGCTGGCAGGTGGTTTGGGTGGAGACCTTCAGAGAGTGGAGAAAGTGAGGAGGAGGCTGAGAGGCGTGAGGGATAAGCATGATGAGTTCATAACCTACTGTGTCTTCATATTTGAATGTATGCACCAAGTCTTTTCTCTCGTTACCAGGAAAAGTCTCCAAGCACTGGATGTCCATTTATGTTTCTGCTCCTAAAGGGATTTTAAACAAACGAAAATGCATACGTGTTTCTGGAAGTATGAATTAGGAGAGTTGTGAGTTAGGAGAGCAGCTGACAGTTGCCATGGCAGTTTGGCAGTATGTAGGTTTATGATAATTCATCTAACCTCTTTCTGAAAGCCCCAGCATGCCTTTGGAATGAGCTGTTCACATAAAATTCCATGATTCTATAGTAACAGGATTTGTGTGTCCTGCCACCTGCTATTGACTAGATCTTGATCTTGAAGTCTTTTTCTAGAACCGGTTGCAGTAAAGAATCAGTTTTCCCACTGGGAAAAGCAAAGTGTAAATCAAACACTTTAGTTATGATCAGCTCTGTGGGAAGGGAGGGGACCTGAGCTTTATGTTGAAATCGTTATGTAAACTGGAAGGAAGTAGATTCAGTTGGATTGACCATAAAACTAAACAGAGAACCTCGCTCTGTTCTTTGCACGAGGGACTGTGTCAGTGTTGCTTCCTCTCTGGCATTTGCTGTGTCCTGTTTTGTTAAGTTAAAAAGCAGCTCTTGTTTAATGGGATGGTCTTAAAGTTTTTCATTGTATGCCCCATTAGTAGAAAGGAATTTTTGAACACCTCCCTTTCTCTATATATATTTGTTTCTTTAAAGTGACTGTATATACAACTGTTCTAATATAATCAGTATATTATAAGGCATGCACAGGATAAGCACATTTGAAAAGGATGAGAAAATGAGTCACCTTGGATACCACCTGGTCATTCACACCACAGGGAGGCCATTTGTCTGCTTAGAGATGGAGGAGTGGCTTCTCTTCGTTGCTTATGGTTATGATGTGTCTTTGAAGTTGTCATGTATGATATCTGAGCAACTTAAAGGAATTGTGATTGGGGCCCAGAAGTAAACTTTACATTCATGGTCAAGCACCATGACCTTGACCTCATTATCCAGGACTTCATCTAATGCAGGTTTTCCTAAACAGGGGGGCCTTATTGACTCAGCAAACAAAGCACACACCTGTAGTATTCTCTATCGCTGTTTGTCAGTACCATCCACGAGTCACAAGCGTGAAATCACGGTGGTCAACGCTAAAGTTTTATTAGAGATACTCCTTTTAATATGCTTGTTTTTCTTTCAGATAACATTAAAGTGTCAGTAAACGATTTTATCATCAAGGCAGCAGCTGTTACCCTTAAAGTAAGTAGCAAACCCCAAGTAATTTTGGCTTCTAAAGTAGTCTCCTGTCTTGGGCTTTTTCTAATGATAACTAAAACTCTTATTGTTAAATCACAAAAATTTTATAATTGTATTGCTAAAAACATTTGATCATTTAATCTCACTCCCTCACTTTACAGATGAAGACACTGAGACTCAAATGGCTTACAAATAATTATAGCAGAATAAAGACCGTTCATTCCACAATGCTGATGGATCTCCTGTCTTATGCTAAATACATTCCAGGCTCTGCAGATAAGTAGTGAGGAAAAGCCCCGCATGGGTTCTGCTCTGTGGGCCTCACGTTCCAGTTGGGAGAGAGGAGCAAATTTACATCAGATAGTGAAAGTGCGAGGAGGAAAAGAAAGCAGAATAAGGGGACAGGATGACTAGGGGTGTTACTTTCAAAGGTAGGCAAGGACGGCCTCTCTGGCAGGGTGCTAACTGAGACAAGGCCTGTACAAGAGAGCGAGCTGAGCGAAGAGTGCTCCCGCAGAGGGGCCGCGGCACAAAGGCTGTGAGGAGTGGGTGGCTCCTTCAGCCAAGGGTGCCTGGAGTGGCGAGAGCAGGAGGAGAGAGGGGCAGCGATGAGAGGAAACATAAAGGAGGGAAGAGTTGAAGAGAAACCATTGTTTGTGAGGCCTTGATGGCCATGGTAAGGACTGGGGTTTATTGTGAGCGAGAAGGAAGCCTTTGGAGGGTTTTGAACAAAGGGCTAGCATGCTCTGACTTAGCTTTACAGAGAACAAGGAGAGGCCGCCGTGGTCGCGCATGGGACAGCCCGTGGAGAGGCCAGGCTGAGGCAGAGGACAGGCGCTCGGCTGAGGTGGAAGCAGCGGGGCAGGGCGCAGGGGAGATTTTGGTGGCCTTTCAAAAGCGGAGCCGACTAGATTTGCTGATGGACCGAATGTGGAGTGTGAGAGAAAGAAAGATGAGGATTTGGGCCCGAGCAGTGGGAGAAATGGAACCTTCCCTGTGCTAAGATCGAGAGAATGGGAGAGGAACAGGTTTGAGGCAGGGAGTCTGGAGTTTGGTTTGGACAAATTAGGTCTCAGAAGCCTAATAGTGTCCCAGGGCAGGGTGCAGGGGCCAGGGGACACGAGAGGTGCAGTTCAGTGGAGTATGTGGCTGGGACGCCAGTCTAAGCCCAGGCTTCCTGCCCCTGCACAGCCCTGTTGCTGTCACTCCGTCTCCCCAGAACCAGGCTGCTTTCTGATCGCTGCCTGTTAGTGCTGTGTTTGAAGGGCGTCTGTAAAGAATTTATTTTTGTTTCTGGAACACTACAGTGGAAGAGTTTTGAAGGCACGGCTTTTCAGCCGTTCAGTATCTAAATTCATATGGCTCTTCTCTTTTGACCAGAGAATGTTTTGAGTTATATTGATGACTTTTGAATTATGAATCATTCTTGCCTTCTGTAAGTGAATCTTTCGTGGTCTTTGGCTGTTTGTTAATATTTCATTTCATAATTTTGTATCAGAAGCCGTAAGTAATTGTGATTTATGTTTTGTGTGTATAGAATTCACCAGTAAAAATATCTGAACCAGGTTCTGTTTGGAGGAGGGGCCTTGGTAACGTTCCCATTTTTTCCCCATAATTATTGAGCTGTTTAATTTTCAGCTTTTTCTTGAATCAATTTTAGAAACTTATATATTCCTGGAAAATCATTTCTATCATCTGGATTCCCAAACTTATTAGCCTGGAGTCATTTAAATTTGTTTCTTGTAATTATTTTAATGTCCTCAGTGCCTGGGGTTTTTCTGAATGCTGTCTTGCTTTTATTATTGCATATTTGTATTCTCACTCCTTTTATATTGTTTTATTATGTATTCCTTCATTTCCTTAGGTTTATTTTGGTTAGAAATATTTTGTCAGAAAATTTGAATGTATAATTCATTATAATTATTTTCTATTAGTAAGAAGGATCAAGATTATGAATTTTCCTTTGAACACAACTCAGGCTATGTCCCATAGGTTTTTGTTATGTAGTTTCTAGTTAAATTTATTTGCCGGATATTCTTTATTTGTGAGAGGCGCTTTTTTCCTCTTACTTAGTGTTGTCTATGAAGAATTTAAAATCTTCTGAGGGTTTGAGACTTTATTATTTTGACATAGTGGCATTGTGGAATGAACGAGCTGAGCCTTGAAAGAAGGAGAGTGAAAAAGGCCAGTGAAGAGGGAGGAAATGGAAGTGTGCCCTGCCTGGCAGTGAGCATCCTGCGTAAAGTGGGGAGTTCGTCTTAGGGCAGTGGTCCCCAGTGAAATTAGATAGGCAGGGTGGAGTCAAATTGTGGATGCCATGCTTAAATGATGTGCTGGGCGGCTTGGATCTTATTCTCTAGAAAGAGTTTTTGAGAAGAGAAATTAGTTTTTGATTTCTGTTTTTCAGCATCATCTTCTCCTGTGATCTTTGGCAACATTATCCATACACACGGTTTCCAGGCATTTAGACGTTTCATCTGTTTTTTTCATCCTCAGTGCCATTGTATATATATAAAACATATACATGCTCCTATCTAGTCTGTATCATATGAAGTATATATCATATGTTTATGAAGCCTGGGAAATCGCTTTTAAATAGTGAAGACATTTATTAAGGACCTGCTACTGTCTCCCAGGGCTGCTCTGGAAAATCAGACCTCCTTCATGTCACTGGAATAGTATGGGTGAATGTCACTTGCCTACCCTCCTCCCCTCTTCTCCTCAGGGTCATGTCGGTCATCAGATGAGGCAAGAAGTATAACAAATGTTAAATACTTTCTGGCAATCAGATTTAACAATGGGAGCCCCTTTTTTAACCATGATATAAAGAGATCAGAACTTGTATTTTCTCAAAATTTCCTCCAGCTTGTTTCAAAAAAGATGATGTGTTTATTCTTCTCAAACATAAAAAATATTTAATGCAGAGATCCAAACCATTTTCTCAAACCAAATTTGTCTTTATTTCCTTCTGTCTAGCTATATTCACTTTCAAAAATGCATCGTAATGTTAGTTACTTTTCTGTAGCCACCTTGGTCTAAAGCTACTTTTTGAGTAAGCTGTTTTTTCTGTTTTGTTTCCTAGCAAATGCCGGGTGTCAATGTAAGCTGGGATGGAGAGGGCCCAAAGCAGCTGCCCTTCGTTGACATTTCAGTGGCTGTGGCAACAGACAGAGGTTTAATTACACCAGTCATAAAAGATGCTGCTGCTAAGGGCATACAGGAAATTGCTGACTCTGTAAAGGTGCGTCTTAACAAGTGCTGTTCTTTCTGAGCCGGCCCTTGCAGCCTAGTGGCTAAAGCTCCGTACTCTCCCCATTCAGCGGCCCAGGTTCGTGTCCCAGTCACGGAACCACACCATCAGTCTGTCAGCTGCCACGCTGTGGTGGCGGCTCATGTAGAAGAACTCAAAGAACTTACAACCATGCCCTGGGGGGCTTTGGGGAGGAAACAAGAAGACTAACAACAGATCCTAGCTCACGTGAATTGGACAGGCACATATCACATGAACTTCGAGAGGCATTTCTTTAAAGGCAGACGATCTCAGCATATCCTGATGAGGACCAGGCTGAAATGAATAAAAGACATATTCACTTAAAAAATTAGGTTGCAAGCAGGAAAACACATTTGTAGGTTGTTCTCTCTACTTATGATGTTCCAGGGACTATACAAGTCTCAGTTTCTCTTCGTTTTTCATATTGGATCCAAATAGTTTTATAAGTAACTGTATAGCCAACTAGTATAAATATGTAATAGTTTCAGTTGGCAGTAATTCACAATGATATGTTGAGATCATTTTTAGATTTTTAAAGATTGTTTCATTTTTCAACAATTCAGTTATCTTTGGTTTAAGATGAAATAGTTATCAATGGTGGTTGTACCTATGCTAGCTATATAATACAGAAAATAAAGTAAGCACCAGATTTGTTTCATCTGCCCAAATGAAATAGCTTCATTTTTCTCTATTCTTCCCCTCCTAAAGAACTTCATTATTAATTTTTATATGTAATGACTCAACCTCTGTTCCTTTGCTTTTTTTGGAAGCTTTGAAAATAAAAACATAAGTTTGGCTGGTTGCAAGTGCAGGTAGAGAAAAATTTAACTACTTTTCTTAATGTCACTCTCAGAGTGTCATCTGTCTTTCCCTCTATAAGTTTTTAGAAAGCAGTGTTTTCAATCCTCGTAGGAAATTACTACATTATATTCCTTGTGGCAGTTTAAGTTGAACTAGCTCATTCAGGAAATGCCTCAGCTGTAGGAGCAAGAATCAAAAGAATGTCCATTTTTCTAGGCCTTTGTAATTCTGTTTCTGAGAATTTATATGAAATAATTCTAAAGAATCCAGTGAACCAAATTATAACACTGGGGGAATGACTAAATTGTGGCAAATACAGTTTGTTTGTTTGTTTGTTTTTTGAGGAAGATTATCCCTGAGCTATCTGCTGCCAATCCTCCTCTTTTTGCTGAGGAAGACTGGCCCTGAGCTAACATCCGTGCCCATCTTCCTCTACTTTATGTGTGAGATGCCTGCCACAGTATGGCTTTCCTAGCAGTGCCGTGTCCACACCCGGGATCCGAACCAGCGAACCCTGGGCCGCCAAAGCGAAACATGCACACTTAACCGCTGCACCACTGGGCCAGACCTGAAACAGTCTTTAGAATGTTAAGGAGACATTTGGAAATCATTTATAAGGACTAACAACACAGAAGGTGCTTATAATATTGAGAAGTGAAATATAAAATTCTATTTTTTTAACTGTCTGAAGTTGCGTATATCTTATGGGTAGAAAAGAAGCAAATACTGAAAGGGGAAAATTGGTATGTTGGTTGTGGAATTGTTGCTATTGGATAATTTGTTTAAAGGCTACTAGATTGACAAGAGTGGCTTCTTCTGATACTTTGTCTTACAAGAAAAAATTTTATGGGAAAAATAGAAAATTGTATTTTATATATAGAAAACACTGAAACATTCAGTGTTGTAATGGTGCAAAGGGTAATTTCAATATGTGAAGAATTTTTAAAGGGAAGTGATTTTTTCTAGAGTTTTGATATACGTCTTTAGATTCTTGTATCACCTATGGTCTAACGTGTTCATTTTTTAATTGTAATAGAGAAGACGATTTCATTACATGCACCAATCTCATAAAGTCAGATCAGGGCCCATCAGAGATGAGTGTGCACCCTGCTCAGATGTTTCAGGTGACAGAATCAACTGTGTAACCTGGTCTTGGTTGTCATGCTCTGTGTGTATTTTCCTCAGGCTCTGTCAAAGAAGGCAAGAGATGGAAAACTGTTACCTGAAGAATACCAAGGAGGATCTTTCAGGTAAAATTTTAAACTCTTAACTGATATAAGACTTATGAAGTCCATGTCAACCTGTTCCATTTATTTCCTGAAACGTTTTTTTTTAATTTAAGCTAAATATCGCATACTTTATTTAGACAGCAGAATATGTGAAAATATCCTTCAGAATCCTCAGGCTTTCATATCAAAGCTAGTAGGGTTAGCTCGTTTTAACCTGTTCAGATGTTCATAGAAAGATACTCAGGGCCTGAAACTTAAAAAGTTTTAAAAATTATACTTAGGGTATGTTTAGAAATCTCAACTGTTTTTTTTTTTTTCTACTTGTGATCTTTTGTTTTAAGATACTTTGGAGAAAAATATTAACACTTAGATCCTTCAGTTATTATCAGCTTTGTTTTTGTGTCGCTTACATACAATAAAGTACCCTGAGTGTAGCTTGAATGTTTTACAAGGTGAAGAAAACTAACCAACCAAGACAAGATACACTTTCTTCCCCTTCATAAGCATCCCCCCTCGAAGGTAACCGCGTTCTGCAAATGATCACCATGGATTTGTTTTGCTAGCTCTGATCTTTACATAAGTGCGTGTTCTCTGGTGTCTGCATATTCACTCAGTATCGATGTCTGTGAGATTAACCTGCTGCTGTGGGAAGCAGTCAAATGCTTGCCGTTATTACAGTGCACAGGATTCTGTGGTATGCCGCGTAGTGTACCAGCATCCATTCTACTGTCGTTGGGCATTTGTGTTGTTTAGAGCTTGCTCCTGTTACAGATGATGGTGCCCTGAACGTTCGTATGTTTTGTGGTGAGTGTGTGCACATAGTTTTCTTGTGTAGACCTGAAAGTAGAATTGCTGAGTTGGAAGCTCTGTTAATAGGTACTGACAAACAGTTTTCCCAAGTGGTTATATAAACTTATACTTTCATCAACAGCATATGAGAATTCTTGTTGCTCCATGTTCTTGTCAACACTTAGTAATGTTAAGTTTTAAATTTTAATGATTTTGGGGGTGTGTAGTGGTACTCTTTGTGGTCAGACGAATGCAAATTAATAATGTTGAATACTGTTTTCATTTATCTATCAGCCATTTGGATGTCTAGAAACTAATCAGATAAAGTACCTGTTGAAGTCTTGTGTCCATTTTTAAAAATGATTTTCAGTTCTTATTTCTGAATACACAGACTTTGTAGGATATACATTATTTCAAATACCCTTTTCTCACTCTCTACCTTGCCTTTGGAATTTCCTTGATGGTGTTTTTAATGAGCAAAAGTTCTGAATTTTAATGAAGTCCTATTTATCAGTATTTTTCTTTATAGTTATACTTTTTATGTTAGGAATTATTGCCTGTCCCAGAATCATGAAGTTATTCTTGTGTATTATCTTCCAGAAGCTTTATAACTTTTCACATGTAGGTCACCTGAAGTTGGATTTTGTGTGTGTGTAAAGATAAAGGTCAAAATTCCCCTCCCCATATGGATATTAAATTGACCCAGCATCACTTATTGGAAAGATTATTCCTTCTCCGTAGCACTGAGAAGGTGACCGTGTGTGTTCGCTCCATTTCTGTATCCTCTCTTCTTTGCGATAGGCCTGCTTGTCCCTCCCTTGCTCAGTACCCCCAGGCTGTAACTTTTCATGTCTGGTCGTGAAAGTCTTCCAATTTTGTTCCGTCTCGAGATTATCTTTCCAAATATATTTTAGAATTAACTTACCCTTTTTCATACAGACACACATGCATACACACATACAAACCTTGCTGGGATTTTGATTGAGATTGCGTTGAATCTTTTGATCAGTTTGAGGAGGATTGGCATCTTTCCGGCATTGAGTGTTCCAGTCAGTGAACATGGTATAAACCATTGTTTGTTCAGTTCTTTGGTCTCTTTATGTTTTGTAATTTTTGTATAGAGGTCTTCTATATGTTTCATTAGAGTTATTCCTCCATTTTTTTATACTATTATAAATGGTACTGTTTTTAAATTTTATTTTCTAATTACAACTTATATATAGATACAAAATGAATTTTTATATTCACATTTTATCTAGTGACTTAGCTAAATTCACTTAGGATTCTTACTAGTTTATCTTAGTCTTGGATTTTTCTGTGTATACAATCAGTTCATCTGTAATGAAAGTTCTCTTTCTTTTTTCCAGTTGTCATAACTCGCATTTCTTTCCTTTGCCATATTCCACTGCCTAGGACTTCCAAGTTCAGTGCTGAATAAATCTTTATATTAGACATCATATCTGTATGTGTGTCAGTATTTATTTTTTGACACTATTATAAATGGTGTTGTTTGTCTTTGGTCTTTAAATAACTTGGTATGAGGTTCTGTAGTGCAGTTTTTAGTGACGTGAAAATACATGCTTCAGGGCAAGGTGCTTTGATGAAGGATGTGCGACCTCAGAGCTTTCTGTTTCCCCCTAGTATTTCCAACTTGGGGATGTTTGGCATCGATGAATTTACTTCAGTGATCAACCCTCCTCAGGCGTGCATCTTGTCTGTTGGGAGATTCCGACCTGTGCTGAAGCTCGCGCAGGATGAAGAGGGGAACGCCAGCCTGCAGCAGCACCAGCTCATAAAGGTCACCATGTCCAGTGACAGCCGAGCGGTGGATGACGAACTGGCCACCAGGTTTCTCGAAAGCTTTAAAGCAAACCTAGAGAATCCTGCCAGGCTTATCTAGTCCTCAGAGAGAAGAAGTTGGTCTTTGCCTTAGTTAATTGTCTAGTTGTTACCCAGAGACGTACACTATAGGAGAACAATCAGATATTTAAGTGTGAAGTGGATCAAGTGTTTATTTATTTAAGGTGAAAGTTTAGCCAAGTTGTCTTCCTTTTCAACTTGGGTTTAATGTTATAGAAATAAATGATAACATACTGTAACTGATAGGAGAGAGTATTTGGTTAGATCCATTTTTAACCTCTGGTGCTCTACAAAGTGATGTTAAACTAGGTGTAAATTAAATTATATGTTTGGCTCATTTGAGCATTTTAGAATGTTTGAGAATGTATTGTAAATTATAAAATCAAAAAGTTTTTAGAACTCTGCCTTCGTTGTATTGAAATTAGAAGTGATCTGCAAAGAGGATCCCTTATTAACTTGGCAGTGGGGCCTCCATTGTACAAGCACTGCTCTAGATAAACTTGAACAGTTCAATGTGTACAGAAATTTATTCTGGATAATAGTAAATAAGCAAGGATTGCATTGTATTGGGGGTTGTGGCAACATTATTGAATTTTTTATGTATATAAAACCGTATGTTTTAGAGTGGGTTTTGTCAGTCTGATTCTTCACTTCTATGACACTGTGAACTAAAGAGGAATAAAAAAATCAAAAATGAAGAGAAAGAGACCAAAAAATTTGTTTTCGTAGTAAACTATAGTCGGAATATCTAAACCTTCGGAATTAAACTGTTCGCGTTCACAGTAGGTTGGAATACATGAAAATATAGTTCCTACCAAGCAGTTTAAGTTAGTGTTGATTTAAACACAAAATGTTGTTTCTTAGTGCATTTTAATCAAGTTTGTATTGTACAATAAAATGTGAGAAAATATAAAAATTTCTATTGTATTTTAAATGTTAGGACACAGAAGTTTAGTAAAACTTTGAAGTAGATTAGTAATTTTCCTGGAACAGCTAAAGAGGAGCTCTCCAGGAGGAAAGAAGGAATTTAAAATTGATGTAACATACGGAAAATAACGGGTATAGAAGGGAAAACTTTGGAAAGAGATTAGGAGAGAAGGCTTCTGAAGCAAGTGAGAACTAGCCTTTTGATCGCATTGATAATAGGAGATTTTCGCTAAGTATTGTAAAGGCCAGAAGAGCTTATTTCTCACTCCTAAAAGCTCTGCTGCAACTGACAGGGTAACCGTACTGAAACTGGATGGCAGTGTGGTCAGCCCGTCGCAGAAAGGCTCGTGTTAGTGTCTGCTGTGAATCACCCGGAGAAGGAGTGTGTGGGCCAGTTGTACAGGATGACGTGATGGAGTACGGACACTCCAACAAAGGAGCTTCCAGAAGTGCCTGGAGCCCCAGTGAGCAGTGAGGAAAGTGCTTGATCCAGTGACTCCAAGTTAACAAGCCGTTCTTGAAAATAGTCTGTAAAAGTTTTGCCGTATTATCAGTTACACTGAAAATTATAACCAAGTGCTACTTGCGAAATAACTTCTATTACATTATTTTCATTCAGTTTTGACTGAAATTATTTGGTTTTTTCGAATTTTTATATCTGAGGTGTAGAGCATGAGACAGCCTTGAAAAGGCCTCAGCTTGGAGCTCTGTTTTCCGGGGACTGGCGTGCATCAACCGAGGTGCATCTGTTTCCCTGTGAGTGGAACAGCCCTGGCACTCGCCCTAGCCTGCCTGATGGAACTGTGACCCGCAGAGGAGAAGTGCTGCCTGGACTGAAAACGTCGTACGTCTTCATGCCCATCACAGCCAGGCTTTTCGTGTAATCACTTGCTTCTCATGGTTTGACTTTTTGTGGTTTGACTTCTCAGCTGTTGGCACAAATGCTTGTTCATTCTGGCTAAAAGTATTTTCTCTAATATTTCTCTATTGATTAGGTTTATGTAAGGAAGTTGGCATTTCTCAAAAGAAGAATTCGATTGCAGTATGAGGTCAGAGAATAACACTGATTTGAGAAAGGAGTATGGTTTACTTAGTTTGGGTCATTATAGAGCATGAACTTTGTGCTGCATGAGCAGGCTGCCGTTAACATTTTATATATATTTGTTTATTCATAGTACTGAGAGGATATAAAAATAAAATTTTATACCTGGTTGTCATTTTTCTCGTTTGAACAGGACAAATGACTAAAACATTGGGAAGACTTCTAAGGAAAAGGCTATGCACGTTCCGAGTTAACGTTGGGCATGAAAGTATCAGTGACTGTTAGCATTTAGAAGTCCAGATGGCCCTGCTTCTCCTCGATTACGTCTTCTAGTTGACACTTATAGTTTGCTCACTATGCTGTGACAGATTAAAGTTATCAGTATGCTACTGGCCAAACTTCT